GAGGGACGCGGGGGACGAGGGATAGAGGGATAGGAGGGATAGAGGGGGAGGGATAGGGATGGAGGAGAAGGAAAAAAAAAGAAAAAAAAGGGAAGAGGGAGGGAGGAACGAAACACAGGACGTGGAATGGGTCGTCGTCCCAGAAAAGGGAAAAGGATGGAACAGAAAAGAAAGCGCAAACTCACCTCCCAATCATCCACCGTCCTCCTCCTGGGCGTCGGCGTCCGTGGGCTTACTGGACTTCTCGGGCTTGCGGGGTGTGCGGGACTTGCAGGCAATGTCGTCCCCGGCTCGGCGTGATGGGCGTGCGCGGGCGGGGTGTGCGTTCGCGCTCTCGTTCGCGTTCCCTTTGTTGTTGTAGTTGTTGGTCCCGGGGCGTCTCCCCCTCGTACGCTTGGCTCCCAGAGCCAGAGCTAGACAGCGACGCCCGCCCGCCCAACGACGTGCGGGGAGACGTAGGCGCAGACGAGGCGGCTAGAACGCGCGCGAGCCGCGCCCTTAGCGCCTCGTGCTCTGGGTCCCGCTCGTACTCCCTACTAGGCGTATGCCGGCCCTCGAGCCGCGAGAGCGTGTGTGCGAGCGGCGAGGGGGAGCCGCCCTCCGCGTCGCCGCCGTACACCCGTCCTATAGGGGATGACGGGCGCGAGGTCGAGGCGGGTGAAGTATACGGGTACGAGTTCGCAGCGGCGGAGTGCGCGCGGAACGGCGCGGGAGAGGGCGAGGAGGTGGACCCGCGGCGGAGGGCGGCGCGCAGGAGCTGTTCGGAGCGCGAGGAGCTGCTCGAGCTCGAGCCGGGGGCGGGGACGTGCGCGCGCTGCGGGGTGGGGGCGTGCAGCTGCAGGGGGGGCGCTGTTGGCGTTGGCGCTGCAGTCGACGAGGCGGTCGAGGAACTCGAGGTCGCCGCAGAGGACGAGGACGAGGACGCAGAGGACGACGACGGGAAGAGCGCAGCCAGCAGCGCGGGGAGCGGCGCCAGCGGAATGCTCGTCCTTTTGCCCTTCCCGCTCTTCGCGCTCTTCGCGCTCCCGCTAACGCTGCTCGTGCTGCCCCGCGTGTGCGTGCTCTCAGATGAGAGCAGGCTCTGGTCGTCTCTCAGACTCGCGCGGCTGGGGATGGGCGACAGCAGCCCGAGGCTCTGCGTGTGCCGGTGCCGTGCCCTCCTTCTCGTACGTTGTAGTTGTGCTACTCCTGTATAAGCACACGACGAAAGGAAGCGCAAAGGGGCGGGGGCGCACCGTCGTTCTGCATTTCTTGGTTCTTTCTTCTCAGGTCGGTGGTAGTCGATGTGGTAAGTGGTGGTAATTGGTAAGGGTGGATATACTGCAGCGGACGGACGGGCGCTTCAGGCGTGTCGCACACGAGGTGTTGTAGGGGGTGGACTCTAGACTGGTCGCCGGCGCGATCTGCTCGCTCTCCGTCGTGCGTCTCGTCTTCTAGTCCGCTGGTCCGCGCGTAGGTTTGCTGACGAGTCGGTGGGGGCCTGCGAAAGGAATTTTCTGGGGTGTTTGGCTTTCCAGTTTGTTTACCTGTCTCACACCTCCCGCGTGGGGATAATTACTTCTGTGACCGGTATGTAACGCCGTAGTAACGCGCGACGGCGACCATCACCCATCACCGTCCGCCCGTTTCCCCGGTTCTGTCTCCTCGTGCAATGTGTATGTAGGTAATTAATAACTTGTAACGGCTCATATATGACGTTGCAACCTCGCTGGCGTCCCGCCTCGGATTTTCGCGCGGATTGGGCTCGCACTTTCTCGCACTTTCGCCGTATTTACCGGCACGACCTGACTACTGTACTTCGTAATTAATATACTCGTGGCTGTGCCCCCCTGCCTTCCCGTGCCTTCGAATCCTTCCCCGATATGGGCAATAAAAGTCTAGGCCAAGCCAAGCCGGGCACTCGGCGATCAAACGACAGCAGTCCGCGTCGCGCGGGAACTCCCGCGTTCCCGCATTCCCGTATTCTCACGCTGCCGCATTCAAAAAAGTAGACGCGCGATGACGCAGGGAAGACGCAGCGATGATTTCACGATGCGCGCAGTGGCGCACCAGCGATCCCCACAAATTTAAACGGCGCGCTACAGCCTATCCCCAACGACTTTCCTGCGCAGTTCCAGCTAAATCCAGCCAACGGTCGTGCTGAATATATTCTCTGCGATGGCCCCACAGCTGAGCGCTCCCGACGTACGTACGCAAGCAGATGCAAGCCATCCCATCCGAGGCGAGATGTAGATGCATGTCGAGCTGTAGTGGTAGACGGTGGGATAATGTCCTGGTGTACATCATGATGGCCAACCCCGAACCCGAATGCGCGTTAATTCTTCTGGTAATGCGACTCGAGGAGGGAGCCGGCGAGGAACCCGTTCTACGTACGGCTGCTATCATAATCATCCTAACTTCGCAGCGATGCAAGTCACATCTCATCCGAAGATATCGATATCGAGGCGAGATGTAGATGCAGATGCGAGTCAAGCTGTACTAGTAGACGGATTACCGGCGTACATGGACAAGCCCGCGCGATATCTACCCTATCCTATCAGGCTATCCTATATCCTCAGGCTGCTCCTTACACAGCCATCCATCCATCCAACAAAACCAGTGCTAAGTAGATATCTATCGAACTCGTGCGCAGGTAGGTAGGTGTATATGCTACCGTGATTGGCAAGGGATAGGATAGGTATCGATAGCATCTTGATCCTAGTAGACTCCGAACCTAGACGGCGAAAGTACGATACGTATCCCCCGACCCCGAAGCGCTAGGATCCTGACTACTACTTACTTTACTTGGAGCCTATAGGCTATAGCACCGCGATTCCCGCTGATCTGCGCTGGATGCTCGACACGAGGCTCAAGTTCACGATTCCATCCAAGATTCACGCAAGACGACTTGAAGTCCTCTCGCGAATTGCGCGCCTCCACTTAGCACTGTGCTTCTACACTGACCGAACCCTTCGCAGATCTATACCCCATCTACGCCCGCGCCCTGGTCTTCTCATCCAGATTTTCTTGTCCAGATTGACCCCCACGGCCACATCAACCTATCTGAACGCGCCATCCATCGAAATCACCAAAGTAACGACTATCGAACTCGTGCGCAGGTGTACATACTGCCCTGATTGGCAAGGGATAGGTATCTAAGCCTGATCTAAGCATCCTAGACTCCGAACCCACAGGGCGAAAGCACGATACGATACGTCCCCCCGAGCCTCCGGGGTACTAGGAGCCTGACTACTGCTACTTACTCGTAACCTATAGGCTATAGGACCGAGGTTTCGCTACGAGCTGGGCACTGGCTGGCAGAGGTGAACCGGATGCTCTACACGAAGCAGTCCAGGATTCAAGATCACAAGATTACAAGATTCAAGCAAGGGAAGGGAAGGCAAGACGAGTCCTCTCGCGAGTTGCGCGCCTCCACCGGCTCCCGAGCCCGAAGCTTCGCAGATCTATACCCCATCTACGCCCGCGCCCCGGTCTTCTCGTCCAGATTTTCTCGTCCTGGTTCAGCCCCACCTCAACCTGTCCGCGCCGTCCGCGAAATCACCACCTGCAAAGTAGCAAATACATACTCCAAGGCTCAAACTCCAAGCTCGAAATCGTATCCATTATTTACTACGCAGCGCTCGAGCGGCATACGCGTCTGTCTGCACCGGACGCTTCGACGATGCGTAAACTGACGCGAGATGTGCTTACACTGACGCATGATGCTTCAACTGCCGCTTCGAAGATGCGTAAACTGCCGCTTCGAAGATACTCGAGCGGATCCGCGCTTCGCGAAGCGCCCGTCCGCCAAAATCTGCGGTTCGGACCGCCGGGATCGGCGCGAAGATGACGATCTGCGTGTCCTGCATATATTTCTTATTTCTTTATCCAAGTCAGTGGGAGGAGTCGCACGGTCCACGCCTCTCGCGAATTGCGCGCTGTGCCTTCCTCCCATATGACATCACCTAACATCTCTGACGCGTCCAGATATACAGTATGTGTGCAGATATATGTATTATTTCCACGACCGGCTCGCCCGCTCCCAGGCTGGTGTCGACTGCTGAACCTCACCCCGTGCAGTCGCGCTCCCCAGCGACTCGATTCACGCGCGCTTTTACGAGGCACATCGAGCGCCCAAAAATAGATTTATTGTCTCACAAAATGCCGCCTCCGAGGAATCCTGAGATGCAACCAACCCGCGAACGCAACGGATACGCGTTATTCACAATATACAGCCGCGCTCGAGCCCTGGATATATATTACATATACATACATCCCGTGCGCGGCAGTGGCACACGGCTTGCCTCTCGCGAATACTGCGCCTCCACTCCGAGTCATGGCATGCGGGGCTCGATAAGCGCTATCTGCATCCGCAGAGCACCGTGGTCCCTGCGCGGTTTTCGCTACGCTCTCCACCGGGATGTCGAGCTCCCGAATCCCAAATGCCAACTCCAACGGCTCGGTGCCGGGATCCTCGAAGATATCGCCTGCCTCTACTGCGCAACCCGGTCTTCACACCGCCTGCCAGTGTGCCAGTGTGCGCCTCTCGCGAATTGCGCGCCTCCACTTTTAACATGTCCACATCTTATCTTATCTTGAGAGCTCCCATCTTATCTTGAGAAGCGGCAGCTAAATACATCTACCTGCGCGATTTTCGCTAACTCTCTCCACCGATATTTCGAGTGGCCGTTGAAGTCTACGCTTCCTGTGCACTCATCTCATCTCATCTCGGCCGGGCTCCCACGCCGCTGCCTGCTCTTTTGAAGTTTGATTAAACATGCATATGCATCGCCGGCTGCAGCCTCCATGCTCAAAACACGATTTATGTTTCCGTCCAATTTCCATTCTCCTCTGTGCACCGACTTGCATATCACATCGGCGGTGTAACTGCAGTGCGACTAAACTACATTACTAAATTATGGATGTCAAATCCAACCACAACTTGATCTTCAGCCCGCAAGTTGAAAGTCTGAGCAATTCATTATGTCCAGCCAATCCTGAAACCAGCCTTGCAAATTATTGGCCTGGTGGTGTAGTGGTAACACAGCTGCTCTATCTGTCATTTATCCATACAATGTACAGCAGGAGATTCCTTGTTCGAATCAAGGTCAGGCCATTTGCGTTGTGTTCTATCTCCTTTTTATTGTTTCCTTCGTTCGGCTGAAACTCATCTCTGTATTCACTTTTGGGTAGTAGGAAGAGCGGCCTGGTGGTGTAATGGTAACACACCTGTTTCCATTGTAATTTCGTGGCTGCTTTAGCAGGAGATTCCTTGTTCGACTCAAGGTCAGGCCATTTATTAGGTTTATGCCGAAGCTTTTTTTAGCTTCGTCATCAAAAATCTGGAATGTATTTACTGTTGTCAGGGGGAAAAGAATGGCCTGGTGCTCTATATAGTTCTTGTCTTTCAGCGGCAATCCCTTGTTCGACTCAAGGCTAGGCCATCTCTTTTCTTTTCACATCTGTTTTTTATTTCGTTTTTCTTTCGCACTGGGATTCGCCACTAGATTTCTCGCTGGGGAAGAAGGGAACAGGTCTGGTGGTGTAATGGTAACACACCTGCTTTACTTGCACTTTGTGGAGCGTTCAGCTGGAGGTCCCTTGTTCGACTCAAGGCCAGGCCATTGATCTTGACTTTTTAACTTCGTTATCGAAAAATCTATAATGTATTTAGTGTTGTGAAGGACAAAAAAATGGCCTTGTGGTGTAATGGTAACACAGCTGCTCTATATAGTCGTATACTTTGTCCTTCAGCGGGAATTCCTTGTTCGACTCAAGGCTAGGCCATCTCTGTTTTACATTTTGTTCTTCTTTCGCAGTGGTATTCGTCACTAGATTGCTCGCTGGGGAAGATATGGAACAGGCCTGGTGGTGTAATGGTAACACACCTGCTTTCATTCCCATAATACCCCGGCTGGTTCAGTAGGAGCTCCTTGTTCGATTCAAGGCCAGGCCATTCATATTAATCCAAGACTTTTTTGACTTCGGCGCCAAAAGAAATTAGAATGCATTCAGTGTTGTGGAGAGCCAGAGAACGGTCTGGTGGTGTAATGGTAACATATTTGCTTTTATTGTGTAGACTTCCGCAGGAGATTCAAGGCTAGGCCATAAGTACTTGTATTTTTATTTCATTGCATTTTCCCACCCATATTCCCCCTCAACTCCAATCTCTCCTACTCAATCCTCCCCGAATTTACTACGGAAAGATGCAGCGGACTCGGACTGAATTTCAACTTCCACTTCAGCTCAACATCAGCTTCAACTCGGAAGAGCGGCACGTGCGCCCGGCAAACGCTGGTTTCACTTTTCTTCGCCGTCTGCGACGATGGTTCAAGGGAGGGTTCAAGATTCCAGATCTCTGCCCCTGCATCGAAGAATCCACCGATGCGAAAGAACTCGCAAACGGATCCGCACCAACGCGCATTTGCATGCTGGCGCCTTGACCCGAGATCTACGGTTACCGCGGTGCCTGGCAGTGGAAACCCTTCGACTTTGCTCGGCCCAGGAACCCGCTCTACGTATCCTAGTATCCGTCAGGCATCTTGAAGATAGCGATGCACGTCAACCGGCGTATAAACCCGAGCCGACCCCGACCCCGCGATATCTATCTATGATATCGAGGCTCGTGAGCAGGTATACTCCCTTGATTGGCAAGCTGTACGCATCGATAGCATCTACCAAACTCGATCTAAGCATCAGGAGGGACGAAAGCACGATTCCACCCGACGCCGAGGTGCTAGGACCTTGCCTACTACTTACTAGTAGCCTATAGGCTATAGGACCGACATTCCCGCACCGATCTGGATGCTCGACACGAGGCGAGCTACGTTCCAAGATTCCATCCAAGATTCAAGATTCCAAGACTCGAGCAAGGAAAGGCAAGACGACTTGAAGTCCTCTGGCGAATTGCGCGCCTCCACGCTTCCACGCCGGTCCTCCCGTAGATCTATCTACAGTAAGTCCGCGCCCCGCCATGGTTCTCTCCTGCTCGTGAATCTGTCCTCAATTCTCACCTGTTTGCCGTCCACCCGAATTGGCACCAAAGTAGCAAATACATACTCCTAGTTCAAGCTCGAATTTCGATCGTATTCATCATTTACTACACATGTACAGCCCTCTCCAATCACACGCACCTGTCTGCAGCGGACGCTTCGAATTCGACGATGCGTAAACTGACGCGAGATGTGCTTCAACTGACGCAAGATGCTTCAACTGACTCTTCGAAGATGCTTCAACTGACGCAGATGCAAGACGACCCGCGGACGGATCCGCGCTTCGCGAAGCGCCCGTACGGCCACGGTTCGTACCGCCGAGATCTGCACACGCAAAGATTTTATTCCGAGCCGGAGGAAGTCGCACGGTCCACGCCTCTCGCGAACTGCGCGCTGCGCATCCGTATCTCTTCCCTCTCATATGACATCACCTAATTTCACACCCATCCGCCGCGTCTCCAGATATATTATTATTTCGACCGGCTCGCTCGCTCCCAGGCTATCGAGCGCTCTACCCCGTGCAGTCGCGCTCCCCATCCACGCGCGCTTTCCCCACGGCTCAAGCGCCCACAATGAATTTATCCTCCGCCTCAACTACGCCTTTGAGGAATCCAGAACCGGTCCTCCCGCCGATCTACAACTCATCTACGCCCGCCGCGCCCTGGCTTCTCGTCCTACTCTACATACTAGTAATTGACCCCTCAGCCTCTTCGCGACGTCCTCACCAAACTCCAGGCTCCAAATGCTACCCTACCCAACACTCAAGTGCGGGCCTTTTCAAATCATACGCGCCTGTCTGTAGGACGCTTCGAATTCGACGATGCTTAAACTGACGCGAGATATGCTTGAACTGACGCAAGATGCTTCAACTGCAAGATGCTTCAACTTACGCAACTTGAAGACGACCCGCGAACGGATCCGCGCTTCGCGAAGCGCCCGTCCGCGGTGCGAACCGCCGAGATCTGCGCGCGTCATAGGCATTCGAGCTGCGCCGCCCACACGGGCCGCTTCAAATTCTATTTTGTGCGCCTCGCCTCTCACGATCTGTGCGCCTCCCCTCTCGCGGATTGTGCGCCTCCCTCTGGCAGATATTGCGCCTCCACTGCACCTTTTCGTACTTTGATTCTGACACGGGCACCGCATTCTACACAGTTCCCTTGCGCGATTTCCCACAGTGCGCGATTTTCGCTACGCTACTCTCCACTCTCTGTCTATCTAGAACTTCGACGCCAACGGCTCGGTGCCGGCGCCGGTGCCCGGTGCGATACCGACTCGCACACGTCCACAGGAAACCCTCCAGTCGATGCACGATGCCGCTTGCAATTGTAACCTCCACACGCGCATGCGAAGCGCACGCCCGAGCCCTAAATAAGGAAGGCTTGACTCCAAACTTACGACTTTCGTGTGGCGATGCCCTATAATCTAATCCACCCGATTCAACGTTCTAACCGTACACCACTGCGCAGCACTCTCTAGCTCGTGTGCATACCACGGCGTGCCTCTCGCGGATTTCGCGCCTCCGCTGTCACTGTTGGCTCACATCTTATCTCGAGAAGCGGCACCTAAATACATCACCGTGCGCGATTTTCGCTAACTCTCTCCATCGATATTTCGAGTGCGGCGCTGCGATACCGTTCAAGTCCACGCTTCCTGTGCATTCGTCTCATTTCGGTCTCATGCTCCTATGACGGTGTCCGTCCCCTTGGTTAAAGATACATCTCCGGTCGTGACCTCCAATGCTCAAAACATTATTTATGTTTCCTTTCAATACCATTCTCCTCTGTGTACCGACGTACATACTACATCGGCGGCGGAACTGCAGTGCAGGACGACGCCTATGAGTAAACTACTAGTCCAGTACTAAGTTATGAATGTCAAATCCAACCACGACTTGATCTCTGGCCCACAAGCTTGAATAGGTCCGGGCAATTCAATGTGTTCAACAATAACTGATCCCGAAACCAGCTTCACAAGACATTGGCCTGGTGGTGTAATGGTTGTACACTTGCTCTATCTATCATTTATCCATAGAATGTACAGCAGGAGATTCCTTGTTCAAATCAAGGCCAGGCCCTTTGTATTGATTGCCGACTTTTTTGTTTTGTCCTTCGTTCGGCAGAAACTCATCTCTGTATTCACTTTTGGGTGATAGGAGGAGTAGCCTGGTGGTGTAATGGTAACACCCCTGCTTTGCATCTCTGTGAAAGATTGTCCTCAGCAGGAGATTCCTTGTTCGATCCAAGGTCAGGCCATGGGAGATTTCAGTGTTGTCAGGGTCAGTCAATAAAGGTCAAAAAAGGTCAATGGCACTGACCTGTCAATGCACTGACCCCGTCAATGACGGGTCATGGAGGGGTCCATCAAAATATTCTTGAGCGCATTGACCCCGCCCCTTTCTCCTAACTTAAATTTGTCAAACAATTTTGTCAGTGTCGACGTCATCCACTAAGGGCAGCAACGGCCATTGACGAGGTCAATCAAAAAGGGTCAATGGACAATCCATTGACCTGACCCTATTGACAGACCCGGTCAGACCCGGTCAATGACAACACTGGGAGATTTGTTCGGCCTTTTTTTGGTCTCCATTTGCAGAAATGTATGGTGCGCTTCACTTAGTCACCACCACAACTTGACTAGTCCCAAATCGGCTGAAGGTCAGTTTTTTCTTCTTCTTGTACTTTTGTGCCCCCATCGTCATGTACATTTCATACATTCAAGCAATCACCTATGACCCATATTGTAGACCATGGTACTATGCAAAAAAAACTATCCCTCTCGCACAGAAATAGTCATGAAATTACACTTGAACAAGACTTACCGAGCCCTGAATAGGGAGTTAAAATGTTGAATTACAATTCCAGAAAATTAGTTCTGGACAATTTAAGTCCTGCAAATGTGTTATAGATCATATCTGGCAGCCGGTTGGTCGTTAGGGCACGTTAGGGGGCTGTTGTAGTAGGGAGTCCCAATTTAGGGGATGCAAATATTTAAAGCTCTCTCAATTTTCAAGGAAATAAAAATCTGTCTTGCCAAAAGTTGCCCCTTGTTAAACTGAGCACTTTGGCAAGAGGAATAACAAATACATTTTTTTCTGACCGAGTAGGAATAGTTGTCATCAACAGGTGGTGACTAAGGTGGTAACTAAGTGAAGCACACCATAGATTACTCGCTGGGGAGAGGAGAGAACAGGCCTGGTGGTGCAATGGTAACACACCCACATTCCTTCCTTCCTTCCTGCTTTATATAGATTTGGACTATGAACTGTTCAACAGAAGCCCTTTGTTTGATTCAAGGCCAGGCCATTTATTAGGTTTATGCCGAAGCTTTTTGACTTCAGCGCCAAAACTCTAGAATCTATTTAGTGTTGTGAAGGGCAAAGCAAGGAGCAAAGAAATGGCCTTGTGGTGTAGTGGTAGCACACCTGCTCTACTTTGCATGGGCTCATCGAGATTCAGCAGGAGATTCCTTGTTCGACTCAAGGCTAGGTCATTTTCTTATTTTTTTTGACCTTCGTTCGGCTGAAACTCATCTCTGTAGTCACTTGTAGGTAGTTGAAAGAACAGCCTGGTGGTGTAATGGTAACACACCTGTTTCACATGGGACGGGAGATACCATTCTTGGCAGGAGATTCCTTATTCGACTCAAGGTCAGGCCATTTGCATTTACTGTTTCCTTTTTGTGGTTTCCTTCATTGGGCTCAGCACTGTATTTACCAGTGAACAGTGGGTACCAATATGCTTGGTGGTGTAATGGTAACACATCTGCTCTATGTAGATAGACATGAAAGTCCTCTCAGTAGGAGTCCCTTGTTTGACTCAAGGTCACTTTCTTTTTATTTTGTTCTTATTTTGTTCTTGTGCGGTGGGATTTGTCAGTAGGTTCCCGGATGGAGAAAGTGAAGACAGGCCTGGGGGTGCCATGGTAATACACTTGCTCTACTTACAGCGGATACACGATGTTCAGCAGGAGATCCCTTGTTTGACTCAAGGCCAGGCCATTCATATTTATGTCGAAACTTTTTGGACTTCATCATCAAAGAAATTTAAAGAATCTAGAATACATTCAGTGTTGTGAAGAGGGTTTCAATAGGCTTGGTGGTGTAATGGTAACACCTCTGCTTTATATATTTGGACTGAATTGTTCAGCAGAAAACTCTTTGTTCGATTCAAGACCAGGCCATTTATTAGATTTATGTCGGAACTTTTTGACTTCGTCATCAAAAGATCTAGAATATATACAGTGTGTTGAAGGGTAAGGAGACCGCCTGGTGGTATAATACTAACACATCTGCTCTTCTTTGAAATTCTGAGCTAGATGCTAAGCAGGAGATTCGAGGCCAGGCCATACTATTTTACCTTATATTTTTACTTCATTGCATTTTCCCACCCACATTCCCCCTCAGCGTCAATCTCTCCTACTCAATCCTCCCCGAATCTACTACGGAAAGACGCAGTGGAACTGAATTTCAACTTTCACGTCAACTTCAACTCGGAAGAGCGGCACGTGCGCCCGGCAAACGCCGGCTTCACTTGCGTTCTGCTTCCACGACTCATTTTTTCTTCGCCGTCTGCGACGATGGTTCAAGGGAGGGTTCGAGATTCCAGATCTCTGCCCCTGCATCAAGGAATCCAGCGACGCAAGGGAACTCGCAAACGAATCCACATCTGCATGCTGGCGCCTGGACCCGAGACCTACGGTTACCGCGGGGCCTGGCAGTGAAAACCCTTCGACTTTGCTCGGCCCAGGAACCCGCTCTACGGATCGTAGTATCCATCAACCCATCTCGAAGATAGCGATGCACGTCAACCCGCCTGAACGCACCGGCGTACAAACCCGACCCGCGATATCTATCCTGTAGTATGCCTATCTATGCCTATCGTGTCTTAGCAAGAAATAGACTGACATCTCAGCAGGCCCCGGATACGTATCGACCGGTATCATAGCCGACACCGAGATTTTGAAGATCGTTGTACAAGCCGGTAGAATTGCAGGATACGATTCAGGCAAGGGCAAGACGAGGCAAGTTCTGTCCTTCCGGCGTATAGTATTGCACGCTTCCATCTAGATCTCACGGAGACCTTGCTTCTCTGACATCTCTTACTGCACCTGAACCTCCGAGTCCGTACCTCGCACCGGTTCTCGATCATCTAGACCTCCCTGCGCGCCTTTCGCTGTCAGGCGCAAGTCTGGCGATTCTTTTCGAGTTCTGTTCTTCACCCGCCCGTTCTCGACCTTCAAAATTAGCCATCCTCGAGCTCTAAATCAATTTGTATTATACTATGGCCACCACCGGCAAGCAAGACCGAATGTGCTCTAAAGCTCCCCAGACTTCGACGAACCCTCCGATGCCCTTAAGTAGGCCCGTAAACGGACCCGCGCGAAGCGCTCGTCCGCCGTTCGTACTGCCGAGATCTGCGTTCAAATAGAACGGTGCGACCCCTCTCGCGATTATTGCGCGCCTCCACTGGTGCTCGTATTCGGATTCCTCCCCCGGTACTACTTCGTACCTGATCGCGATATCCGGCCCGTGCAGGCGTCTTCTAATCAATCTGCTGTGACCTGCACGGCTTTCCCGGTGTCCTATTCTCTCCACTCTGTATCTCGCGCTCCCAAATCCAAATCCAAATCTCGGTGCCAATTCAACCCGAGACGTTGTTCACTCGCGGGTTTTAGATGAAGATTGCGCACCTCTCGCGAATCGCACGCCTCCACGTGCATATGTAGCGTTTACGTTCTTAATTCTCGTACCCTCCTCAGGTCTAAGTGAAGAATGAAGACACAGACGTGCGCGATTCTCACTCAGACCCCCAGTCGGAATTGAACCAACTAATATTACCGCTCTGAACAAATTCATACGCGCAATACACCCGAAATTCCAAAGATACTTCTAATGCAAGCGAATGGCATGCGTCGGATGCCAGTGAACATGCGTCCAATTCCAGTGGACAGGCAGCCAGATCCGCGAACCCTGCGGGCGATTCCGTTCCGAGCTCAGGTTTTGGGCAGATGCGACAGCACAGATCCGCCGCAACTACGCGTCGATATGAGCCACGCCCGCACGGTAACGGTTCAATTTCCGAGCGCCTCGCCTCTTGCGGATTGCGCGCCTCCATCCACGCTGGGGCTCGATAAGCGGTATAGTCATAGATGTATGGTGCGTATCTGGATTCGCAAGGCGACGGCTGAATCCGTCATGGTGGCCCTGCGCGATTTTTGCTGCGCTCTTCCCAACGGGATCTCGAGCTCCCAAATCCGAAATCTCGTACACAGCTAGGTGCCGGGTACCTATCGCAAAGGGCCCTACCCTCGTACTGCGGTTCTGCGGGGACTTGAGGAACTCGTCGAGGGCCCTGCTGAACCCCGACCTCCACGCGGCTCGGCTCGACTACCGGCGTCGTGTGCCGCACACGCGCACTACTGCGCAGCACTGGTCTTCACTGTAACTTCGTCTGTGCGCCTCTCACGGATATCGCGCCTCCACTGACATATATAAATAGCGCGTAAGTATCTCACTTCTAATTTCTCGCACGTCAAATTTGATATCTCAAGCGGCCTTCTGTTATACCAACTGCGCGATTTTCGCTATTCTCCACTCTCACTTGGTATCTGCAGCGCCCCACTCGGTATAAATTATATTCCCACTCCAACATCTTGTCCTTGAACGTGAATGACGCTCAGCCCCCACTCCCCTCCAAGCTCACCATATACAATGTATCTCTCCTGCACCTAGCTGTGGTATCTATGAATTGAATTCAATACTATCAAGCTTTGCATTTGTTCCGTCCGTTCCATCCCCACCGTTCCGCACGTTGCATATCTCACCCACTCGCCGCCACTCGCGTCCTAAATCCTACTAGTACTAAACACATCTACTCTCCCCATTCTCCCCATTTCACGAGTCACGTTGCGCCGACCTCCGCGACAGTTGCTTGTCCACATTGACTTGCTGAATCGAATCGAATCTGCCACTGCTTCAATACGACCTGCTCGATTTAGGGCAGTCTAAGCATTCAGCCAATCCCAGAACGAGTTTTGAAGAGAACTGGCCTGGTGGTGTAGAGGTAACACACCTGCTTGATATATCTGGACTGTGAATGGTTAGCAGTATTCTCTTGTTGAACTCAAGGTCGGGCAGCCTATACTATACAATAAGTTTTCGCTTTTTTATTTCATTTGTCCTTCCACATTCAAATCTTCTTACGCCATTTTTACACTCACCTCCAGAATTTACTGAGCAGAGACACATTGGAATGGAACCTGAATTTCAACTTCAATTATTGTTCGGAAGAGGAAGAACGGCACGTGCACCGGCAACGCCCGACCTCTTTGCGTTCTGCTTCCACCACCCTTTTGTTCTTCGCTGTCTGCGACAACAGTTCAACGAGAGCTCAAACTACCTTTTCTCGCCAATGCCACTGTGCTGATAAACTACAGCCTTGCTCGGATCCGCGACTCGGAAGGTCTGAAGAAACATTCCCCGGGCCCTGCCAGTGGCGAGCTCTCGACTTTGATTTTAACTTTGGCCTCTAGACTCGAGCCTCGAATGATTCGCAGCGCATGTGCTGCAACTTCCAGCGTCTTTGATATTTCACTTTGCTCCTCTGCTCTGACCCGGCTCTCCCCATTCCTCGCCTTCACCCGAATCCCCGCCGCCGGGCCCTGCGTAATTGTGAGTGTGCTCGCCGCTGATCTGGGTGGACGCATCAGTAGATCTAGATTCTCTGCTTCTTTCTCTGGGCCGGGCGCAACTTCGATACCCCTGAGGAACCTACAGCTGCAAGTTAAGTTAGTTACCGCGCAGCCCGCAAACAGATCCGATCCGCGCGAACGTGCTCCGGAGCCCTGCGACCTCGACACACTTCGATCCACACCGCAAAATTTTAGGGCTGTTCCTGGGGAGTACACGATCCAAGTGCTTCCGCCGTGTCCCTGGTGAATTCGACTTCACATTGCGCCGCGAAACCGCCATCCCTCAAGCCTCCGCGAAACCCCCGCCCTCAACCCCGGCGAGACCTCCATCCTCAAACCTCCGCGAAACTTCACGAAACCCTACCCTCAACCTCCGCGACATCCCCCTTCCTCAAACCTTCGCGAAACCCTCACCCTCAAATCCCTGGCGAATTTCGCGCGTGTTGGATTCTTTCCTGGTTCTCTGGCGCATCTAGAATGCCTTTTTTTGCCTATGGAGTCTCGCATGGAGCGTCCGCAGCTACGGATTGCACGGTTTTCGCGGGGCTCGCTTGCTGCCTGGTTACGTTCTGAACCTGAAGCTCCAAATACTCCAACCTCTTAGCCTCAAACTACCTGCGCCCCCTCCAATCGGAACTGCACAAATCTAACTCTTATACCGGTAACTTCGAGGGGCTCGCAGACAGATCTGCACAAACGCCAAGAGCTACGCTTTCCGTGGGCCTAGCTGAGGTTGACTTCTCAACCTCATTTGTTCGCGAAGCTTCAAAGCCTCACCTGAACCTCAGACTTGAACTGGGCCGACTCAAATTAATTTCTTTTTCCCGAGCCCGCTAAATCAGGCTCAAGCGGGAACTCCAAATCCCATGAATCTCAACTTCGACGAACCCGCAAAAGCAATGAACCCCCATACGGATCCACGCGAACACAGTCGGCGTAAGAGCCCGCAATTCCTGTCGAATCGGTATCAAGCTCCGGAGATCTATGGTTGTCGCGGGGCCTGGCTGTTGAGCTCTTACCTTCATCTGCTCGCTGAGCTTTACATGTAAGTCTCTCAGCCTAACCTCAAGATCCAAGTGCCTTCACCTGCCCCGACTCAAATTAAATACTGCTTCGAAGCTACATACGCTATCGTGCTAACTGCGAAACCTCTCGGTGGGGTGTGTATATCCCTCATTCAAATCCGCCTGCGCAATTAGCCAGCGTCAGAAGCCCTCGTCCAATACGCAAACGCTTGGCCCACGAATAGAGCTAGCATCGAGGAATTCTTGATACCTAAGTCAAATTAGCCCTGGGGTAAACCTAGCAGAAACACAGGCGCGTACCATCCCGCGCAGCGCAGCGCATGCTCATAACTCCCCCCACAGTAAAACACGATAAGGTCTGCATCGGCAAACTGCGAGTGGAAGGCCGTTAGCTGGGTGTGAAATGTTTGAGCAGGGCGCTTTTGGCTCCCTTCGATGTGCGCGCCCTTTAGCATGTGCGCGATA